AATGTTTATGTTGGGTTTTAACGGAGTCCTTTGTTCTCACAATACAAAACACCCTTGGATTAGACTGATGACCTTTCCAAGCTTCAACTTGTCGTACCGGCCACATCATTCCTCAGGTGGCAGGGCGGTGCCTGCCCAGTCCCTCCTTGTTATGTTTTTGTTTCTATGGTCGGAATCTTACGATGTTGCTTATCACCATTCCCTTGGAGTTTCTGTCCTTGTGGTATTTACGGTGATTCAGTCAGGTGTCTCCTCCTCACCTTGGCGGGGATGGCTTTAACCCTCAAAAATCTTACCCTCTAGTGCGGTTTTCATTGCTACCTGGGGTGGTGTAGGACGATTGGCTGCCAGACACTTGCATTGTCAGTATGTTTGAGTGGTTCAGTTGTGGACTGTGGTTGGCAGCTTCACCCATTGCAAGTAGGGTCTACCTTCTGTTTGTCTACTCCTGTTCGCGCACCCTCCCCCTTCATGTCGCATCAGTTGGGAGTGCCTCTTGCCGGTTGTTCGGTCAGTGCTTATTGCCCGACTTGTAGGGCTGGCTTTGGCTAGCTCTGCCTACTCTTTCCTGGCTTGGTTGGACTTCAGTTCAGCTGGGCTGGATGGTGTGGCTGGTGCCATTGTCATTGGGTATTGGTACTGCCTCCCTTGTGGCTCCTAGCTGTGAGTGGTGGGCCCCCTCAGCTACGAAATACCGGGGGTTGGGGCTCTGTTGATGTGGCCAAGACCAGTGGCTGTCTGATGGGGCTAGGTATTGTTGAGTGGAAGAATGCGTGGCTGTACGGAAGATGTAGAGCGGGAGTGTTTTCTAAGAAGGATTGAACTTAGTTGTATTGCTCAGGCGGTTACCTGCTGGCTAAGTACAAGTGGTAACCATCATGCGCACTACGATCTAATTCTATATCCATAACTATCTAAACCCTAATACCACTGGAACACATCCCACAACTCAGGTCGTTACCCGTACATAGTAACAACACTCAACAGGTATGAGCTGTCCTGTGATTATCGGATGGTTGATCTATCTGAGAAGCTGGGGGGGCTGGATGGGCTCTGTGGCGTCTGGTATGTGGAGCTTGAAGGGGCTGATTGGGGGGGGAGAGGCACCTGCAAGCACCGGTCGGGCCTGCGTCAGGTTGGACGAGGTCTAATTAAGTGTTTCCAGTCTGGTTTGGGCTGTGAGGTGAAGTTGTTGAGTGCTGTAAGCTCCCTGACGGATTGGCTAGCTGATGGCCACCTGTGCGGATAGTGGGCTACGACCACCTGATTGGACTTGTTTGGGTCTTACGTGCTGCATTTTGTGGGGTTTGTTTGGTTTCTTTGGTTTGGCTACAGGGTTGGCAGGAGGAGGCATGGCACCACGGGTGGGAGATAGGCCCCACTGACCTTTTTTGGTCTGTTACTACCTCTATGAATTTCCTTTGTTTATAGTGTTTTGTTTGCAAGACAGGCAGCAGGTACAAGTCCTCCTCACCTGTACGCTCCTTGCAGGCAACTGGCAAAGTGGATTCATAGGGTTGACGGCTTGGCATGCGGGTGCGAGAGGTTGACATGTTAGTTGCCTCCTCCCTGCCATTGTATCACCTGTAGGTTTAGTTTGTGTATTTTGTTTGGTTATCTACTGTGGTGGAGGTATTGCGGGACAGTATTTAGACCGAGTGGTAGTGATTTTATGATTGTTGGACGAGAAACCTGGTCGGGTTGGTCTTTTGCTCGGCTTCGGCTACGGTTAGTGCTTGTTGGCTTTATACCAAAGGGGCTACGGACTTGGACTCAGGTGGGCGCTGGGTTATTTGATGGTCTTGTAATTAGTTCTCACTCAGGCATGACTCGGATATAGCAGGTTCAGGGCCGTAGACTTGGTTAGCTTAGGATTAGTGGTATACCGGTTAGCGGTATCCCTATACCGGTGGGGACTCGTCGTATGCCAGTGTTAGCGGTACGAGTTTAAATAAAATTAGATTGATTTCTAAGTACTTTTCCTACTTATTACTTTAACAAATATAAAACACCTTTACTATCTTTATCTTTATTGTAACGTTATCATTACACCAAGGAGAGCTCTTCACAATGAAGAGTTGGAGAAAGCTTACAATAGGCATTCCCATAGAAGACAAAGGTCTTGTACTATCGGTAATGTAGGCAGAGGCCTATTGCTATCGTAAAACTAAGGAAAGAAATAGAAGAAGAAAAGTATTGTTTCCCGTCACCAAGAGCTAACTATCCAAGGAGGAATCATTACATCCACCTACAAAAATGAATTTTTGTTAATCTAAGCAACTTTGAAGTTTATCAGGTTGTTTCCACCTAATAACAGTACTATGATCAATTCATATTCCAGGAAAATAATCAAACCTTTCTTGAAAACTGTCATCCTCATTTCTTTTATGACCATTGGCCACTTTTCTTCAACCTCCCTTTCCTTATTCACCCAATACTCAAGTTTATGCTTCTCTCTGTGCTCCTCCAGCTGTCTTACTACTCTTTCTTTCTTCTTACGTTCCCTTCGCCATAGCATTGTTCTAGATAGTCCCTTCTGAAAATTCAGCCTCAAGACATTTGTTCTATAAGGCTCAATAGGCAAAGGGATCACTGTTTGAGATTTGGTAAACTCTTCTGCTTCCTGGATTGAGTCTTCTTGCTGGTGGGACTTGGTCTCTGATATCAGACTTGGGTCACAATTGCAGGAGGTTCCAGTTGGTGATTCTGGGATGCTGAGTACTTTTGTAGGATATCCCCTTTGGGCTCTTACTTTGCATTAGCATTTCCATTTATTCTTAAAAGAAAGCATACTGATAGTATTATTGTGTGAAATATGTAATTGTTCATCACTCTCGCTGTATACAGTTCTCATAACTTGATATCTATTAATTATATTTACATCTTAGTCATCTTGGCCCCTCAGTATTTTTCAGTCTGCTCCTATATATGTTCTATCTTATATTTTACTCTTACCAAAATTTGCACTTTTCAAACTTGAACTACTTATTCTAATAACACTTTATTAAAAACAAAAAATATCAGGCCTCTTCTCCCCTTAAATGTCCTCTTCGCTGATATTTTTTGTTATTTTTATTCCTTGTTTTGATTGACTAGTTCAATTTCAGGTTTGGCTGTTTTGAGGACCACAATCGAGTCGCTTTGCACTATACCACTTCTCCCTACTACAACTAGCAAGTCCTTCTATCTTAGGCAATAAATATCCATAGTTGTTCCTTTTCCTTAGTATCAAAGATGACTGGATGGCTTAATCTTCATCAGTTTGAAGGCGTACCTTGCTCCTTGGCACATTTGTAGATTTTCTGACAGGTTCTAAAATCTAGATCTATCCATTCACCAATTGCATAAGACTATTAACCCTCAAAGCAATAGTCAATAATAGGGAATTGCTAACCTGCCAAGTCATATTGACTTTGTCCCAGAGGGCTAGGATCTGTATTCTTTCATTCCGTGTTGTTTCTAGATTCTTTGCACTTGCGCCAGAAGGTATGTGATCTGCTCATCATCCCTTATTCTTTATATTTTCTTCAGTTTATCTGAGTGAATATACTTTATATGCTCAGTATCTCAGTTTTGGTCACAGTCATGGTAGCCATCTATGATAAAAACAATGTATATTTGATTATGTAAGAGTGGACAAGTGGCAGTTGCTTGTTCACTGTTGGTACAACATATACTAGCCGATTATTGTGAGATCGACAAACTTATCCTTGATACCCGATACATGAGTGTAAGCTGAATTATGCCACCGGGTAAAGCACTGATGATGAGTTAATCAAGAGGCGCGGCAGGCTTAGACATGATCACGGAATCGATAGTTCATCGGTATGATAGAATAGGTACTTACGAGAACCATGAGAATTCTCTCTGGATCCCATGCTGCACCGTGCTACTTGGTTGTGCGGCTGAAGACAATTACCGTAATATAGTATTATTAATATTACTAAAGTGATAATAAGGTTATCTTCATAATGTTATTGTAATGCTGATATCAGATGCGACAAGTTTCCTTTTCTCTCTCGAACACAACTATCATAATATTATCATAGTATGGTACTGGCACCTTAGAATCAACCTTCACGGCAACCAAATCTTCCCAACTTTTCAACAAACAACAACATCAAATGCCATTATTCTGCTTATTCCTTCTGTATAAAGGTCCTAAATCATGTAGAGATCACATTTACAGAGTAGATTTCTTAGAGTTGAGGTAAAATTTGGGCGGGGCTGGGGGGTTGGCACTTGTGTTGGGAAACAAAGGTTTGGCTGAGTAATACGCTGATATATTTCCTAGAGAAGTAAGGTCATATACTGCATTAGGACTAGTGCACAGCCTGTGGATGGCACTGAGGGTCGATTCTTCTAGGGGCCGGCACCATACTGGTAAAGGAGCACGTTCGTTGCAAATGGCCCGAACCTTAGCCCGCGTGGAGAGGCTCAACAGAGGTTGTTGTCTTTCGAAGACAGCATCCCTCCATTTTCAAAAGGGGAAGCTTCCCCTGCATGGAATTTCCCTTGGCTGAACGACAATCTATTTTCATTGGCCAACATGTTTTCTTGTACTTGTATCATACCGGTACTTGCGGAGGGCAACTTGCCCACGGTAAACACCCTCCAAAGATCATCCTTCAAAATCGAAAGTGGGTGCGGTATCTACAGTGAATTACCGGTGGATTGTCTTTACCCACAATCCCGCAGAAGTCGCCTCATCATCAACTCACCAGATCATCGGTTGTTCTAAACTTCACCATTCAACCTTACCCTACTTTTTTTTACCCTTTGTATCTTTATATCATATCATGCTTTTCGAGATACATCTGGTTTAGGGGTCATCTTGCTCTATTTCTCCACGTGTTGTATTTAAACACTTCGCATCTACACAGTCGTTTCCTCCTTAGGTGTGCTCTTCTCGCTTGTCCCGGGATTTTTGCGTCCTGCTCCGAAGAGTGCCCTATTTATCCCTGTCTTATCATTAGCAACTCCAACGTTCTTTATCCACCATGGCGCGGTTGGCAGACAGGATGCTGTCAAGAAGGCAGGTTGAAGGATTGATTGCTGAAGGGAAAACTATTTTCATCTTTGACGGGAATGTTGTACGAGCCGATGCTTGGCTGAGGTTTCATCCAGGGGGCGATAAGACTATTCTGCACATGGTCGGTAGAGATGCTACTGATGAGGTTAATGCGTACGTATCATTTCCTTCTTCCTAGACCCCGCGCTCCGGCACATCATGAGAAATTGAGTCGTTTGGAGACTGACAACGGGTGTAGTTTACATTCAATTGAATCTCGGGCTCAGATGAGACGTTTTATAATTGGAAAGGTTCAGCAACCTTGGGAAAGCTTTACACCGCCTCTGCATGGCGGTAAGTTTCGTCCATACATTGAGGGTGAGGAAGATGAAGAATTGTCCGAGCCCGAATGCCCACAAGGCGAGGGGGCTCGATCCCCGTCATCATTGTCCGTCAGCAGTGACGACAATAGTTTTCTATTGGACCCCGGCCTTCGTCGTAGGCATCAGGGATCTGTTGTTGCTTCATCGTCGACTTCAATGACTTCAGTGTCTGTCCATGATGAGACAGGCATGGAAGAGTTGACGAGGAAGGGAATGGAGTACGATCTCGCGACGTACCCAGCCCTTGACGCAGAGACACAAGGAAAAATAGTCGGTCTTTATCGAGAATTGGACGAGCAGGTACGATCGGCTGGGCTTTACAATTGCAACTATGTTCGGTATATGAGGGAAGTTGCGCGTTACCTGACGTATCTCTCGACTTCGTTAATACTCTTGCACTATGGATGGTACAAGATGTCAGCGTTCTTTCTGGGAGTGTTCTGGCATCAGATCACCTTCACTGCTCACGACGCTGGTCATATGGGAATAACACACCACTTTCATGTCGACACATGTATCGGTATCTTCATTGCAGATTTTTGTGGAGGTCTCTCATTGGGGTGGTGGAAGAGAAGCCACAATGTAAAGTTTCCCTTATCGTGCAATACTTGCCAACTCGTAAAGTATCTGGAATAGTGGTGCCAAGATCCTCGGATCTGGCGTGAAATACCAGTTCTCGGCATTTTATGTCCGGATGCTTTATGAATTGACGAGTACAACCTTGCGAGTGCACCTACTAACGTACAACTCTCAGGTACATCATATTGTTACAAATGACCCAGAACATGATCCCGATATTGAGCATCTTCCTTTCTTTGCCGTTAGCCATCGCCTCTTCAGCAGTCTATACTCAACTTACTACGATCGTGTGATGCAATTTGATGCCGTCGCTAGAGCGTTAGTCAAGTTTCAGAATTACCTTTATTACCCGATCCTTTGCTTTGGCAGATTCAATTTATACCGTCTTTCCTGGGAGTACCTTATTCTCGGGCTTGGCCCTCGTAAGGGAATTGCTGCGTACCAGAGATGGCTCGAAATTACTGGCATGGCAGTCTTCTGGTATTGGTTTGGGTATCAACTTTTGTACAGGTCTATACCCACCAATTGGGATCGATTCCTGTTTGTTATGATCAGTCATGCGGTGACGATGCCTCTACATGTGCAGATTACACTATCACATTTTGCCATGTCGACGTCTGACTTGGGGGTCAAAGAGAGCTTTGCACAGAGAATGTTGAGGACTACTATGGATGTCGACTGCCCACGGTGGTTGGATTTCGTGCATGGGGGATTGCAATTCCAGGCATGCCCCCACATGGTTGGCCCCAGTAGATTGAAGAGCTGCACACTAACTTTGTCCTAAAGGCAATCCACCACCTTTTCCCACGTATCCCGAGACACAATCTCCGAACAGCTCGGGAGCTAGTTATGGAGTTCTGCAAAAAATCAGGTGTCCCGTATGCTCTTTACAGATTCTATGATGGCAACAAGAAAGTGATCGGCCATTTGGGCGAAGTTGGCAGACAAGCTAAGATCTTGGCCGAATGTCAGGCAGCAATCATTAATAAGGGTGATTATGGTCATATGTGAGGTGCAGATTTGCCGAGTGGTTTTCTACTTGGCGGATTTATCTGGGCTTCTTTTGGTTGTTTGGTTGATTTTATCTGCGGTCAGAGGTTGTTGTGGACGTGGTAGGGGCATGTTCAAAGTTATTATATTATATCCTGATTGTGGATTTCTGGTCTTTGTTTAAGTTCGGTTTCGGTTTAAATTTCCTTTTTTGTTTGTATCATGATTAATTGCTGTTGGGATGGCTGTTTAAAGTCAGGGTTTCGTGGCCAGTCGAAAAAATTAAACCGATATAGAGTATGGCAGATATGAGCTGTAAATAAACTAAAAGGAGTCGAATAACGGCGTCATAATATATCACTGCAGTTTTAGTGATGCTTGAGGTTAGGGCTACCGGTATTTGTTAGCCTGCCTGGGCCTGGAGTGTTTGTTGTGGGTCAAGGGTGGTACGGTATACGCACAGTACGGTAGGTGGGGCTGACCAAAGTTTGTTGTTGTTGCCAAGACTTGAGGAACAAAGAAGTCGTTCCTGGGCCCGCGAAGTAAACAAAAACAACGCCTCCGTCGTCAGGGCTTTTTCTTTCATGAGATACCTACCTAAGGTTACAACACTATCAAATTACAACAATACAAACTTATCAAGCGGGACCTGGAGGATAGTTTCAAAGCCCCACTAACATAATTAAAACTCAGGTCTCAAAAAAAGGAAAAGGCCCCGAGCACATTACTTGGAAGCCGGCTTTCATGGGTGCGCTAGGAGTAATCGATACTCCACGAACGGAGTACCCAACTGAGTCCTCGATAGAGATGGAAGCAGACTTCGGCTCGCGAATGGAATCCTTCGCATCACCAGGCGGCGACGATATCCCCCAAGCCGTAACCAGCAGACGACGAAACCGCCGAAGCGAGATAACACCGGCCCGCCAGATCTTTGGGAGTCTAGCGAACAGAGGCGGTGCCGGAAAGAACGAGTTCACACCTCTGCTCAAGAGCGTGCAACGGTCGAACCTCACCCGAAAAGTCAACAACAGCGGTGCGCCCCCGACGCCAGCGTTCCTGAAAGGCGGGAAGCTCAACATTACGGACAGTCCTGCGCTGCCGCAGGCTGGTAGCTCGGATGTTGGCGACTCCACCTACCAGACTCGCGGGGATGAGACCACGATTGGGCCTGCTGGGATTCCGTCTTCGAGTGTGAATTCTACTCCCCTTGCGCCTATACCTCGAGGGAATGGTGGGGTGTTGGAGCATGATGGGCAGATGACGCTGAGAGAACAGGAGAAGGCATGGGTTCTTGGATACGCGCTGTGGTTTTTCGAAGCTTGCTAACTTTGGGATAGATCATTGATGAGATCAAGAAGGAGAACTTTGGCCTGAAACTTAAGATTGTGTTCATGGAGCAACGGCTACAAAAACTGGGACCTGAGCATCATGAGGAAGCTATTAAGGAGGTACGTCAGCTTCTTCTACATAATTATCTTGAATGAGAACGAGCTGATTTGTAAAATTTTCTTTGGAAGCACAGAACATCGAGATCAAGGTCGAGAGAGCAACTCTCAAAGCAGAACTGAAGCGTTACCGGAAATCCCTCACAGATTCCGAGAAAGCCATTGCCGAACTCCGGGAGCAAATGATCAAAATGCAGAGCGGTAAGCAGGCGAGATATACTGACGATCGGAAGAGTGAAGAACAAGCCCGGGTTTTACAGGAGGCCCAGGAAAAGCTTGATGCGAAGGAACAGGAGATTCAGCAAATCCTTGAGGAGAACGAGAGACTTCGGGAAGAAGCGGAAGAATATAAGTCTCGATTGGAAAACATTGAGGATGACGATAATGATGAATTAGAAAAGCTGAGGAAGGAAGTCGACAAGCTTGAGGGCGAGAAGGTCGACTTAGAAGCCGAATTGAATGAGAAAGAGAGGGCCCTCGATGAACGGGAGGAGCAGATGGAAGGTGTTGAGGAACACATTGAAGCCCGTGACGACCGAATCAAGGACTTGGAACAGGAGGCAGAGACTCTTCAAAAGAAGGTCATCGCGTTGGAAAGGGAATTGGAAGGAAAAGTGGGCGATAAAGATGGGGCTCTTGCGAGGAAGGATGAAGCCCTACGGCAGGCTGAACGAACGATCAAGGAAATGGAGAGGGTGATTTGTCCCCCGGAAGGCGTGTTTGGGATTCGGACTAATAACTTTTGGTAGGATATGTTGAATCTTCAAAACACCCTCGACGACGCAAAGGCTGGGAAATTAGAGCTTATCAAGACGAAGGAGGGAGTAGAAGCTGAGAACCGTCAGCTCGAATCGGACAATAGAAACCTTAGCATAGAGAAACATAACCTCCAGAACGAGGTCGAAAAGTTGAAGCATGGTATCCGGGATCGCAGCTTTACATATAAGGACAATATCGCAGCGCGTGAGGGTCAGTACCGAGAGCTCGGGGATCAACTCGAGCGCATCCGCCAGGAGTATGAAGACCTTCAACAATCGCATCAAGAGAAGAGTGAAGAAGTGGGGCGATTGCAAGCAAGACTCAATGAACGGGACGGTGACATTGAGGGTGAGTTTGCAGCTCTACAGAGGCAAATCGCTAATCTCAAGCGCGAGAGAGAGGGGGCGGTGAGATCGCGTGCTGAGCTCGAGACTGAGCTTCGTAAGTCCAAATCGGATCTTCACAACCTCACCTCCGAAAAGGATCTTCTCCATATGCGCCACGACGCTCTAACGAATGAAACCCAAGACCTCCAGAAGCAAGTTGAGAAGTTAAAGCTTGCTGTTCAAGAGGCAAATGCGGCACTTCAAACCGAGAGGCAACTTGCGGTGTCAAACGAGCAAGCTTTGAGAGGCGAATGGGAAGAAGACAAGAATGCTCTGAACGACGAGTTGGAACAACTTGAAAGGGAGATCCGGGAGAAGGAGTCGCGCCGTGAGCGTGCTGCCTCTGATTGGAGTACCGAGAAACGTCAACTCGAGGCCAAGATCCAGAAGGCGGAAGCAACAGCAGGTTTGAAGAGGACGATTGAGAACCTCCAGCAAGTCGAGCATATGATCCAAGGGAAAGAGGCTAAGCTACACAATGCTCTCAAGTCTGAGAATGAGAGACACAAGGCGGAGGAAGATGCTCTCAATAGACAAATTGCAGAACTTCAAAACGAGATTGAAGACCGAAAGGCGGCATTCGATCTTAAGGCCGCAGAACTCCAAGCTGCTAAAGAGGAGTACCGAGTCACAAAGAAGGCCGAAAGAGTGTTGGACGAAAAGGTCAAAGCTCTTGATGACGAGGTTGAACTGCTCAGCGCTCAGCTTGATGAGGCTAACGAGGACGCAGAAGAGCAAGTCAGTGCTTCCAGAACCGAAGTTGAAGCACTCCGCCAGAAGCTCAATGCCACTAGACTAGAACTCACTCGCTTGGAGAACCAACATGCCAGCACTCGCGCAGATATTCAAACTTACAAGGGAGATTTGGAGGCCGAGGCGAGTGCTCAAGACCAACTTAAGGCTGATCTCAGAGATGCCAACCGACGACTAGAGACGGTTCAAAAGGACAAGCACAACTTCCAAGAACAACTCGCAAAGGTTAACTCACAAATCCATACTCTCAAAGCCACATCGATGGAGATTGAGTCCGAACGTGACGAGCTCAAGAGCCAGCTTCAGCAATTGTCCCATAAAGTTGATGTTACGAAGGGCTACGATCAAGAAAAGATGGAATTGAGAAAGAGTAAGAACAAACTCGAAATCAATCTCCAACGAATGAGCGGCGAGCGAGAAATTCTTGAACAAGAAGCAGGCGACTTGGAAGCTCAACTCGAGGATGCCCTCGACTCAGCTCAGAAGTTGGAGGATAAACTTGAGAAGCAAACTCGGGAATTGAAGGCACAATTGAAATCTATCACTGATGCCCGTGATCATGACCAGCAAGCCGCCAAGCGTAATATCGCACGTCTGGAGTCCAGAATAGAGCAGCTACTAAAGGCCGACCGACAAGATGGAGGAGGGTCTGATGTGGAATTGAAAGTTCTCCGGGCCGAGTTGGCAGAGTCAAGGAAGAGGGAGAACGAAACAATTCAAAAGGAGTCGGCAGGCAGGAAGGCTGCTCGTGAATTGCGATCACAGATCGACCAACTCGAGGGAGAGCTCATGGAGGCTAAGAATGCTGCCGTTGCCTCTTTGTCACCGAACGGGAGATCACCTCGTTCCAGCAGAAAGTCCGAGGTCGAGGAAATCAAGCGCCAACTTACCAGTGCCAATGAGCAAGTTCGGGAACTCCGCTCCCAGGCAAGGTCATTACAAAGGAAGGTCGATGATCAAAAGACTTCGCACGACCAGATCGAATACGAGAAATCAATGCTTGAACAGGAAATTAATGAAATTCGAGAGAGCAATGATGCCCTGGTTGCGAAGAACCTCCAAGCCAGCACTACAATTGGCGACCTTAGGAAGCGCATCCATTCTCTGGAACGGGAGCTGCACGACGCCCAATTGAACAAGCATCCCAAAAGCTCGGAGGTCACCCGAACCGCACAACAGGAGGCCGCCGAGGAGAGGCAAGAACTCCATGACCACATCAAATCTGCCACCCTTGAGATCGAGCAGTTGCAGTCTCAATTGAATACCAGAGAGGAGGAAATCCGCAACCGCCGCAGGCGCGAGAAGGAACTCGATGCGCAAATAAGGTCACTCCGCAAGGAGAGGCAGCAACAGGACACGCAATCTACTAGCGTAAACGAGGAATTGAAGAAAATCACTCGGCGGTATCAGCGTGCCATTGAGAGAACTGCCCAGCTCCAATCCGCTTGGGATGAGGAACGCAAGGCAATCAAGCAGAGGGTGCGGTTTTCAGAGAGTACCAGTAGGCGGGAGAATGCGAAGACTGGCAGCGAAGTCAGGGCTCTCGAGAAGATTGTTCAAGACGCAGACGAGCAACACAGGGCCGAGATCAAGGGCCTCGCAAAACAGATCCGATATCTCCGGGCCAAGGTAGCTCGCGAGGCTGGGTTCCGCGCAGACCTGTCCTTCAGCAAGAACTTCTTCCTAATGCAAATCAATCTCTACAGTGCTTGGTGAGTAATCTGTTTCTCCCTCCTCTCATCTTCATAATATATAGCTACTATGGCCCACTCTCCTGCGCCCCACTCTGATAATACCGAGCTGGCTCCGCGGAGTAACCCTACGTTTTACAAAATGTTCTGATGGCTAATTTATAATAAATCTTTCCCCCCCCACAGCAATGAGGCAAACATGCAGTTGATAGAACAGATGGGAATATTCCCTGACCGCTACATACGCGAGAAGCGACCGGCACTAAGATCGGTGGTACAGGCAGTCATTGCCACCATCCGTATGAGGTTCGCCCCAAATTTTCATACAGTCCTGGATGACTGATAAGCTCCCTTTCTGCTCTACATTTTTTGCTAATATGTGCGTACAGTAAACTTCAACGGTCATGGTCAGCAAACAAGGAGCTAAAGACCTCTCTGGCCAAGTCGTTAGAGCGAGTGAGAAGGATGGAGAATGCGGAGGTTTAGATTACAATGTCATGATATTTTTTTCCCCCTTCTTTTCCCAAGGTATATTTTGTTCTGGTGTATTTCATGTTTTTACGGGGAGAAGGAGCTTAGTGATTGTCTCAAAGTTTCGGGTTTCCTAACTTGTTCACTCCCGATTCCTCTCTTGTCATCATTATTATACTTATGTAACATAGTTGTGCGGTATGCGCATTTGCATGTTTTTCTCCTCTGTTTCTTCGAGGCGGGTGTTTTTACGTGTATGACATTATATAATGCTCTCCCGGCAATTTTAAAGCAAGCTTTATAATTTTTAACCAAGATCTAAATATGTATGTTGCGTCCCGCGAGGACCACTGTTACACCATTCCTCTGAGCTTCCAAAGCGCAAAGAGAACATTCATCTAATCAAGCAAGCAGTCATTGCCCGGCCAAATTCGCCAACTCATTCAGGGAACTCATCAGGTTCTTCCGTTCCTCCATCTCATCGCAATCCCCAGTTCCACGACAGTAAGCGCTGACAACTTTGACACAAGCATAGTAGCAAGAGTACCTAACACCAACCAACCATCAATTAACAATCCCGCCCACAAAGCAAACACCGGCAGACAGCCAAACAAACAGAACTCACAATAACCTCCTAGCCTTCGCCCCCCCAACCTCCAACGCCTCAGCCCCATACCCCTCGACGAAAGCGCGGGAAGGCCTCAAGCACGCAGCGCACAACAAAGGATCATACCACCCGGCCCTCTCAAAGTCCACGGCGCCCACCATCTCCAGACTCCCGGGCGCTAACAGCACAGCCCCATCATCGAAATCCAGAACGGCAAGGGAAGGCCCGACCACCTCGTCGAGCGCGGATGACCACAGGCGCACCTGAAGCCGGATCTCCTGGTAGGGCAATAGGACGAGCATCTCCTCCCCGTCGCTCAGCACGGCTTCCACGAGCGCTGTGAAGGCGTCGCGCCAGAGGGGGTAGCGCTTCGCGCTCCTCGTGGCACGACCGAATCCACCCCCCGTCCCGTCCGGTCGGGAGGTGGCGTCCGCGAGCGAGCGCAGGTATCGGCCCATCCCCCTTTCCACTCTCTCCACTTGCTCGCTGCTCATGCGCCCTCTTTCCGAGTCGAACCTTGTGCCGGGGATGTAGGATAGTAGGATGTATGGTGAGTCTATGATGTTCCCGGTGTCGTCGTAGGAGAGCACCTCCGGTATCGTCACGTTCGCCAACTCCCCGCCTTTCCTCTCGCCCAGCAGTGCCAGTAGTCGTAAAATATCCGCTTCGGATTCCAGGATGCTGCGCTCGTAGCGGAGAACGCGCGTCTCGAGGGATGGGGAGATCTTCAGGACGCAGGAGGTGTTGGTTGAGAGAGTGATTTTGTATGATGCATTGTAGGTTCGTGTGGTTTGGGAGGTGGAGAGGTCTGTTATGCCCGTTATTGTTGGTGTGGTGGAGGGTGAGGACGAGGGGTGGAGAAGGGCTTTGGCCAGGATTTGTTGGAGTTCTGAGGGGACTGTCTGCTGTCCTCCGGAAGGACTACTAGGCTCAGGGACGCTGCCTGTGACGGATGTTTTAACCATTGCCCCGGTCTGTGGTTTATCACCGAGATTGTGCTTGCGGGTGAGAGGCCGTGATCAGGTTGTCCAAAACCCTATTCGGAATCGCGGGTGGCTCAAGGAATCGAGTGACTGAGCAAGGTATTAGAAGGGGGAAAGGACAGAAAAGAACAGATTGCTGATTCCGCTCCCGCCGCAATCGTGTCTCCGTAACTCAAAACAATACAACCGCACAATACCGTAACTCCCAAGAATACTGAAGCGGAGGATGGAGGGGGCAGTTGTACTTATGCCGTAGGGTCCACAGTCCACTTGTTAGCTGAGCTTTGGTATGGGTGAATACAGTACTCACTTATGATACGAACCTGGCAATGTGTCCGGATACGTTACTACCGTATCGTGAGTGAGGGTCAGTGAGGAAGGGAGTGGAGTAGAGTGGAGTAGAGGAAGTAGTGGAGGGGGGGTGGGGATATCAGTGATTTTAATGGCGCCAACAGAACCATACTTCCGGCGCCGATCACTTGTGTTCACTTGTGCTTTTGTTATTCCTCGGTATTGGGTGGTACGGTAATGTACTCGTACCGTGCCATACGATATCATACTCGCCCCAGGCAATAAGTGTCCGAAAACAGGGATTCGCAAAATATATTGTAAAATACCCGTGCGTATCTGAGCGCCAGCACAAACTCACAACTTGTGTCCCCGGATACTGCTTGCCCTAGACAAGTGCATCCATAATGGCAAATGTGTGGTGGAATCGTGAGGGTAAGCACGATACAGTACTCGTACAATATCAAGCAAGGAAACCCCCCCATAAAAAAAGGAAAAGTGTGAGAACTTCTTCCTTCCTTCCTCTCTTCGAAAGCGGAAAATTCCGGAACCCGTCTTCTTCCTACCGAACTGCTCGAGCAGTCCAGCGAACGAACTTATTCCTAAGACCTTTTTTTTTCCGTCCGTTCACTAAATCATTGCAGTACCGCACTGTTGGGTAATAACCCACCGGAGCGATCCCGTATTCATATCTTGCCGAACCAGGCAGGCAGGCGGACCACTCCTCGATTCGCCAAACAGTTCCGCATACGGCTTGAATTCCTTGGCATCCTCGTCTGTTTTCGTGTAACGTTGCAAAGGTCGTGCACAGGGATGGATAGCGAGGGGGGGAAGTCCGGGTATCATAGGTTAGAGACTGCCATTGATAATTTTGATTGCTGGACCGGATTGTACTCGAGTACTTGCAATACAATATTAGGAACCCAAAATGTAACTTCCAAGTGAGTGACTGAGAAAGAAAAGAAAGGAAAAAGATTCCTACAAGTATTGTCACCGACACATACCAGCCCGATTGAGTCCAATTCAATATCCACAATTACTGCTTGAGTACGGTACGGTAACTTAAACATTCTTCAATGCAAGTAATTACCAACGGCCGGCATGTCACTGGACTGCAGCCAAGAGGCAAGAAGAGAAAGGGGGGGAGGTGTGCTCGGGTATGGAGGTAGGTGACCGGACAGCCATTCTGGAGGCCTGACCGTTCTACCCTCGTGGGAAACAGAAGAATGGGTTTGGTATGGAGATTGCTCAAACAAGCAAAAAGCTTTGACACCTCCAATCCTTGGCTGTCCGGCCACCCCACGTCCATACCCGAGCGCAGTAGAAAAAAAAGGGAAGGATAAGCCGAATGGAAGCACTTCTTGTGTCGAAGTCGCCGGTATACCGGTGAGATTGATAACGCCGTCTCAAACGAGCGTGTCCAAAAGACAACTGTGGGATACCAGACCAATCGTGCTCTATCCATCATTTTTGAAGAATATCCTCTCTCTCCCTTCCCTCCTTCCCTAAAGGTCGTGTTTGTGCGGGCACGGGACGGTATAAAGACTCCCGTAGGAATAAGCCTGGTCACTGTATTTTGTTTTGTTTTACCCTTATTTCCAATGCAGATGAGGTGATAAGTTAGGATACATATTTCTCCCCAACTTTATTTACGCTCGTTTAGCTTAAGACTTCTCCGCGGGCACTTCCATCACTGGTGCCAATGAGGGTGTCGTCGCCGCCGCGGTCCCGGACGCCGCTACGGTCACACCCTCACTTCCTCCCTCCTTATCAGTCTTGGACTCCTGCAATTGAGCCAAATTGAACTTCTTCAGAGTCTCCCAATCTTTCACAACGCTCATCCCGCAAATGCTCTGTGCCACCCGGGAAAAGAAGGCAAAAGGAGAAAACCTGGTTAGCCAGAATTCATTTTTTCCCATGCCATAGGTATGACAATAACATATCACGCGGGAGACAGGGGTAACGGAGGAAGGGAAGATATTCGACATGAAGAGGAATTGAACTAGAAGCACCGTAGCACTTGTAGTAGTTCTACCTGATAACCAAAAGGGGGATACCGGAAAAGACGCCCAACGGCAACAACACAAGGGTAAGATATGACGTGATAGTACCGGTGAATGGAGAAGACAGCGATGGAGAGACTACTTGCCTGGTAAAAGTCCACCAAGATGAGTAAATCGGGATTCTTCAGATCAGCTTTATGGTTTGTCCCGACAACGTCTGCTACAATTTTGATAATCTGATCGCGCTTCAAATGGCTGTGGTTGCGGGAAGTAGGTTTGATAGCAAACTAAAAACGGAAGGAAAAAAAAGGGCGCAATGACCCAGGTTTCAGTAACCGAAAATTAAAACACTCTCCCTTTCCCGATGAACGGAATTCGGGTCGATATCATTTTTTTTCCCCTTTCGGTTCTCCTTCCAGGGAAGAAAGAAATGAAAAAGGAAAGGGAGAAAAAGGGACAATAGGCACAACGCACCTTGATGCATTCCTCACTTCGGTGAAAGTGGGGAGGAAGGACTTCCTTGGCGACGGCTTCCAGGCCCTCAGCGTTCGCCTTGCCAATCCGAGTAACAGGAGTAAGGCGATGGACGTGTCGGCTCTTGAGACGGTTCTCCACAGTTCCGGCACAGAGTGCATTGACCATGGCAATTGGTTCGCAAGGAGGTTTTAGGCGGAAGAAGATAACTGAGCATTGTCCAGGCCATAGAAGGAAGACAACATTATCCCGACCCACAGATAAGCGAAGAAGAAAGAGAGAAGGGACTGGGGAGGAGGTGGGGGAAAGGTATTTGGGGAAATATTTCTTACCACACTCCACATCAAGCTTCACCGAGATAAATGGTTTCTCGGGTTTGGCTCCTTTCAGATCACTAATCTCCTTCTGGATCGATGCCTCGATATCTTCATCCTCGTCCTCATCGTCCTCGCCCCCGCCGTTCTTGTCATCGGACAGGTCGAGACCGTAAAGCTCGGAGGCCACCTAATCAATTGTGAGCCATTCGACCATTCCGACTGGAGTAGGAGGAAGAGGGGCTAGGTTTGTGCCCCACCTGCCCTAGCAGCCTATACATCTCTTCGACGCATCTCGCTTCTCGGCCTCTGTCACAGGTAGCGAATATACCCTGCGAGCCTTCCTCAATGCTGTGGAGGCTGTGGTACTTGGCTTTTGCCTGGCTCTTCCAATACTCTTTGGCCTGGCCCGATTGTCCACCGATCAGCACGAGCTATAATGATGGTTACAATTTGGAAACAATGTATGGGCGTACAAACCTTGCTCTTCTTGACCGATTTAGGATCCAAGCCCTCATTGTCGCTGCGGCGTTTCTTATTGCCTGCCATTTAAGCTGACGTCGACTCGGGAGTTGATGGTTGAAGTGGGAGTTTGGAAACGTTGCTACATAAACTTAGCTACAGAGGCATTTGATGCACTCGAGTATAAGTGCAACCGTGCGGTACGTCACAAAATACGGTACTTAGCCCTAAGCTTCGCTTGGGCACAAAAGGCAAATTAAAAGGTAAGAGTGGAAAAACATGAGATAAATCTCGTTGGCGCTTTGAGAAAGTGTTGGATTGTAACCGAATCTACTCGAGTATGATATGATACTAGAATAAATATCCACACGGCATTACGAACGGAAAAATGCGAAAAGAATTGGCTCGACCCCGGGTTTGAACCGGGGACCTCTCGCATATAAACTTAGAGTGAACCCTAAGCGAGAATCATACCACTAGACCAGCCGAGCCTGTGCAATTTTCAAAAAATTGACGTCATATATACGCATCTTGCTGACGGCCCCAACCGAGCACATTCCTGCTGCCAGTAGCTACTACCTATTCAGCTGTCACCACCCGCCGAGTGACAAGCTGTGATTTCACATGGGCACTCATTACTTACCTTTCCGCCCTCATCTTCATGCTCGCCTCATACACACAAGACATAACAACCAATGCCACAAACTCTGTCGTGCATACATCTGTCAACTGACACTATGAATGTATGTGCACACGCATCCCCCCTCACACAGCCCAACCACGCGCGGGAAGGTAGAAGTAAAGTAAGGTGAGAAAAAGTGGGTTATAATAATTTCCCGCTTTCTACTTCACTAAAAGACTACAATCGGAGCATGATATATCGGAGGAAGCTTACTCTTTTTCCTCGTGAGATTTTTTGCCAGCGCATGTCTCAGAGCCTTTTCGCCACCGGTACGGCACTTTACTGCCCGCTCGCCATTGAGGGGAAATGCCTCACTTCCATACTCCGCGTGAGGCGATGGGTTGTGATAACCGCGAACCGCTTCGATAAGATCCTTTCCAAGTATATCTCGTTTCGTCGGCGCTTTCTTAGCATTCCGAAAGTAGAGATATTAGGCTTGGGTTATCGAAAAGATGGGAGAGAGGTTACATCGGCAGTTTAGCACCCGGAATTCTGTTGTGGATAAGACAGAATAAATGTGTAGTCTGATTGCTGATGGAAGTCTTTTTGGGCTTTTTTATGCACCTGCGCCTCATATCGAGCGGTGAGCGCGGTACGTTCCCAAGCGTTGCGGCGTGACCGATCGGGCAGAAATAGAGCTGTGCTATCTCAAACTCTCCGATCCGATGTTTGATACTCGCGGTATGGGTAAAGTATGGGAAAATACAGGGGATTCTGTGCTGGAGTGAATCAGTGGCGGAATCACGCAAACCTCCTGCGAGTAGAAAGGGTGGTACCAATGTTGCTTAAGCCAGTAGGATTCGAATGAAGAACTCACAGAAATATCCAAATAAAGTAATTACGCTCAGACAACAGGTTTTTCCAATACTTTACCCCCACCGCGAGTATGTTAGATATGGGGACCCGAATGTCACCGCATATGTTAGCAAATAGCAATTTGTTGGTTGGTTGGACCGAGGATCAAGCCTTGGGTGCGCAGCAGGCAGACGCGGTACTCACAACCTCACATCCATCTAAGCCAAACCCACAAGTGTGGCAATAAACAAAATAGGTAGTCTACCTCAGTAGTGCCTCTAATGAGGCACATTTACACTTCTGAGCATGGTGTGTGACGCCCAGAGATCCCATAAGTGGTAGTTTGAACCCTCGTGCACTCTAGCAGCCTAGTTGTGGGGAGCACAAAACCCCTCTCCCCATCCAGACTCAGACTATGTTGAGCTCCACTCGTTAAAGGTAGCGAGCCGAGTCACAGCTCCAGAATAGTAGCTTGCGTTCCCCCCAGGTGAGTTAGTCTGCCTTTCGGGGAATAACCGCTGGGTGACTGTGAATGTGTCAACAGGGAAACCTGAGAGTAGCTATCAGCCTTAGTGATGCCTACTGGCACCAACCCGCCGGAATATCAACAAGAGTCCGATTGAGACGTCCCCATGAAGCAGTGCTTGAGGTGTCGTCCATAGACATAGATGCATCCTTATTTACTACCCATCCATCACCTTAGCGCTCAGGAGTCCCGACAAACGGGGATGTTGATTGCAAAGGGGATTCCTGGAAAATGGGACCTCCATGAGGGGAAGTGTCTGAAGGCAGGGGGTTCTCAAAAATATATGTGGTAACGGATCCGTAAGTATCGTATTTACAAACGATTAGACTACCCATCATCACCCTCGTTGAGCTCTGCGTTCGCTATCATAGTTTAGGGGCCTCAGGGCGGTTGCGCGGTTCCAGGCCCCGCCGCTTCTCAACCCAGTTTAGCGAGAACTGTTGTCTACAGCCTATTCAGCCTGTTTAAGGTTTAGACTATAGGATAAATTTGTTACTTGAAACAATGATAAGTGTGACGCCTTTATCCATTTCTAATATTTTATTAGGTCATATTCAATCACTCGGGTTGGGTTTTTTCAAGTCTAAGAGGAGCTTACGAGTAGGTATTGAACTAAAAGACAATATGGAATAGTTTATCAGATATCCGAGTTCATATGGTGGCAAGAGTGGGTCCCTTGAACCTGCCCCCCAGGGTATTTTTTCCCACGGCACTCTACCATCCTTCATCACACACTCTTTAGCTCAAGGGGGGGCTGGCGCTAAACGGGCTCCGGGGGACCGGTAGGTTATGGCTTTCTGCTAAGAAAATAATTTCGTGCTCCCACATAATAATTTTGATCACAAAGGGTATCCAGCGTGCGCATGCATTCGAAATTCCCACCTTCTCAGGCACCGTTGATGGCTCCAAGTTTAGGCACAACTCCCCCCGCCCCTTCTAGCAAAGTTCTTGGACGCCCGAGTGGCCTTCTCTTGCCCGTAGCTTCTGATATCCCCCCCGCTCCTACCGTTGGCTCCGCTTTACAAGATCAACACGGCCGAAAAACCCGACGATACCAACATGCGCTCCGATTGGCGGGGGGAAGGGGGGAAAGTTATCATACCAGCAACAGGGTTCGAACAACTACGACCGTCCCAACCAGCGTGAGGTCTCGCCCCTGAGGAAGAACAACGGCTCGCTCAATTCATGCCAGACAGTTACGTAAGCATCCAATGCCGATGCAATGTTCGCGCGGTTTCCTACCAAACGTTAATGGACAGACCTCCATATTTAGTCCAAGAATGAACCTACCGTGAGCATAGCCGACAATACTCGAGTACCATTTATCATGTAAGCAAAAAAGAACCGTCACCAAACCCATGCGGATACCAAAACTTCCCCCAATCCCGGCCCCTACCTCTCGCCTCACCACTGAGGATATCCCCCCGGGAGCAATGAAAATTCAGCGGGCGCGTCGGGTCGTCAACCCCGGGGAGCTTAGACTGCCCTGACCATGCTCAAGTACCCATACAATCATCAATTATCACCCACCAACATCCGCCCATTGACATCCACCATCCCCTCCCCCATGTACCCGAGTAGACGGCGTATAGAAGGCGTATATATCCTCTCCGTCCGACGTCCCCAAATTGAGATTCGAGAAGCGAGAAGATTTCGAAGGGGCTTCCAGGATTGTGTTGCCGTCTATGCCCGTTGCTCCGGTTACGACCGCTCGGGGCGTTCGGCTGGTTGGTCACAACGAAAAAAGGTATGTACGAGTACTGTCCTGTACAGTACTCGACTATCATGTACAGTACTCGAGTATGTTGTGGCTCGGTGGAAACAGAACCTTTTTATTCGCTTACACTCCCCGCCGAACGGAAAACGGGAGAAGAAAAACAGCATCACCACGTTATGACGTCGAATTACCGTCATGGTATCAGAAGGGTAAACTTCTATGGATGATACAGTAACTTGTATCGTCCAGATCTACGATAGACTACAGGACAGCCGAATGTCTCGGCATGATTTCGCAACGATAGAACTAGCTAGCTCGTTTTGGATGTGATCGGCTAGATACCACAAAAGTAAAAGCGCCACCCGCGGGGCGAAACATGGATTCTTCCAGCACTTGTGTTACACCGTGGGAAAAAGCAAGCAAGAAGGCCAACTCAATTGTCGTAAAGTAAACCGCGCTGATATTTTTGGATGCTTGATTAGTACGAGTATGATGAATAATTCTAACTTGTTCTAAGTCACCGGCACTCGAGTACGAGTATCGTACTATGCAAGCACCAAGAGCCAGCCAGCCATGACAGCCGACTCCAACGAACACCACCACCGCCAGGAATGTGCCAGGAACGGACCAACCAAACATCCGAACGAAAGTCTCCAGATTGTGGTGCAAACAATCAGAGAAGGTGTTTCGCGTTCTTGGGGGGGAGGTTTATTCTTCGGACGGAATGAGAGCCAGATGACTGGGTGTGGTCGAAAGAGCCCAATTTAATGTCCGTTTGGGTTAAATAAAGTAAGGGGCGAAAAAGGAAGGAGGAAAATGAAGAGAAGAAGGTATCACGGGGTGATACGAGGACAAGGATGTAGGAAGTTAAGCTTTCTGAGGGGAAAAAAAAACCCCGGGTGAGAAATGGGACAAAAAGAGCAAAGATGTTTAATAGGACAGGTAAAGATAGAAAGATAGAAAGTAGCACACAAATGAACAATGATCCGAAACGCCAGACTCCTATTAGCCCGTGGATGTCATACGGTATGTACAAGTACAGTTACTGCGCCGTACAGTACGGTATAGTGTAGGGAATATGTAAACTACTGAAAACAAGAACATGGAATCAAAACCACTATAAAAAGCAATCGGAAAAGCCTGGAGCAAGAGTGCCAGTCGAATCATCGCTTAAAGTTGTTCTTAAACTCATCAATATAAATATCAACGAATTTCTTGAAGCCATTCTCGTTCCCGCCTAAGCATCGATAAAACCTAGCCAATTAGTAATCGTCGAATAAAATAAAAATAAAGAAAGGAGCTTCCTCAGCCTCCGAAGGAAAAAAAAATGTCCCCAAACAAAATGTATCATCCGCACAGCCAAACAAGCTGACCACGCGTGAAACACGCGCAGGGAAATTATAGCAGTAAACAAAGTACAGCTGGTAAGTGAAATAGATATAAAAAAAAGTGCGAACCTTCGAGTTTTGTACCGCCTAACTTGCTGTAATCCTCCACCTGTCCCTTTCCCGTCAAACGACCGTGCATTCTAGCCACCATCCGGTGAAAGGAAGGGCTCCGCAGTAACTATTCGGTCAGTAAAACCTCTCCCGTATGATACAGCACAGTGCTCCAACCATATCCCCCACGTCACACGGATCACGGAGGGACGGTTAGGCCCGCCCCAGCTGATGCTCACTAGGTCAGGCTGGTAGTAATGTTGCGGTGGAGCGGAGCGCACCGCCCACGATGATGCGCAATGTGGGCAGATTCTCTGCTCTTTTCTTTCTTTCTTCCAAAGGAGGGGTTAGAACTCAACTCTTGCTACGAGCCATGCCTGAGCCGTTGTGCGAGGCGTTAGCGTTGTGCCGTGGCTGCTGAGAGGAGCGGGGTATTCCTCATTGCGGATCCGTAATTCCTGTAGCAGGGTGGGAGGGGGGGGGAGGGGCGAAGAGCGGGGTGGATTAACACACCTCAAAGACACGTATCATCATTTTTCCTTGGTTCTTGAGAAGAATCGGATCAGATGACAATGGGGATGGGGATGATGATGATGATGATGATGATGATGGCGATGCCTTCCTTTTTTTTTTTTTTGGTGGTTGATGTTGTTGGTGTTGTGTCGGCAACTGGTGTTGCTGAGCGGATGATGGTACTGTACTGTACTTTTTTTTCCTCTTTCTCTTTTTTCCTTCCTTCTTCCCGGTTGGCGGTGCACGAATGGCTGTCGTAAGGTGCTCCAGGCTAATAACTGTAATCAAGTTACGGCGATCAGTTTTTTGAAACCCATAGCACGGGGAGGGTTGGAGTTGTTGAGGGTAAATTAAGAGACTTGATCAGGGGAAGGAAGGACCCCCAAGCAGCAAGTCTTGCACACTTTGCGGTGTGGTGTCGGTGCGGGCATGCTTCCTGGGGCTTCGAAACATTCTTCCTAACGGAACCTTACAGCAGGGCGACACTAATTTCACAATGGCCTTGTTATTTGTAATGAGCCCGCACATGGAAGATGCGACCCATCAATTGATCATTAACTCTATTCGTAGAATTTGTTCGAACAATACCGGTACTAGTACCGTGCTCGAGTACGATAGAAAGTCGGGTCATTCCTTGGTCAGCGGGAGGGGGATACGGTGCTTTTTACGAGCCATGTAGCATGATTCTTCCGACTGCCTGATGGGAGAGCACTCTGACCATTGCCACGTGCAGTTTCCCCGCAAATGAGGTTTTCAACTCCAGCAGGCGGAAAAGGCTGTATACGATTCTAGAGGGAGGGCAGTGAGTAAGGTGGCGATAAACTGGAGATACGGGTGTGTTCCGAAACCGCGAGGGGCAACGCATGTACTATACCCGCAAGTACAGGTACAGTACTTGTACAAATGCCAGTACGAGTACTCGAGTACAAGTTCAGTGCTTGCACAATAAATCCTGATTTTTGCCGCATCAGCGACCTCAAACACTCGAGAAAGCCTACTCCTACCGGTAGGGTACCGACTGTGCTGCCTATCGTCATACTACGCACCCAAGCCACGTCGTCACAGAGGAAGGAAGGAGGAATGAAAGAAGGTGGAGAGAAAGGGAAAGGTATCATAACTTTGTTCCTTAGACAACTGTAGAGTACGGTACCCAATACTCGTACCGGTACTTTGGCATCAATGGTACAAGTGGTGGGTAAAAGTCTTGGAAAAAGTTGCTTTCAGGGCCCCCAGCCGGGCAAGGGTCCAGTCCCAGCGCTACGGAATTGGTGGCGAGCACCGGTATGGTAAAAGTGCCTTTGCTTGTGCTGCACCCAACCGGTGCATGCACTTTACACGTAGTTCGCAAGGCTATCTATCACTCACCCATACGAGCTCTCCATGCTGTGACAAGCTCTGATAGGATAGACAGCTGCCTTTCCTACTAATTGCTAAATTGTTTCCTACAGTATGAGTGGTCTGGACTGAACAGAACGCGAGAACCGCATCAGAATATGATGCAGGAGGCTGTGTTCGCATGAAAAAAAATAAAAATAAGAAATGGTAAGGGTGGATGAAGGGCGAAGAGGACAATCGCCTTTCACGACATCTCATCTGGGATGAATCATCGGACTGATGCAATCCCCCGGCTTGTTCCCACCAATAGTCTTCCATGAGAAGCTCAAGGGAGGAGAAAAAAAATAATACTCGGTGCATCCCATCCATCTCTTTATTCCCGAGCAGGCAACAGGTGCCAGACCCGTTGTCAGAGAGGACGTGAAGTTTTTCCCGTTTCTTCCCCCCCCAAGCAACGCGGCCTAATCCATGGTAACAAACCCACACCAGACGTGATTCTTTGAGGCTCCGCGCTCAAGGTAATGAGTGGATGGGAGGAGATAATGGGACTGCGAGAGCTCTTAAGCGATCCTGCAATCTGCCTGGTGATGGAACGATGGCGGGAATGATTTAGATTTCGGGGAACATGAATGGTCATTTGACTCTCATTCATTTACTCCCGTGTTCTTGTTGCTCCCATTGTGTCTGGGTTTGTTTACTCTCAATCCTTCTCACCAGTGCATTTGTCTGCCTCCTTTTCCTATTGTTTCCTTCCTATTCCTCCTTACATCCCTACCTTTCTTTCCCCTTAGCCTCTCCCTTAGAGCACAGTACTCGAGTATATATATATATTCCCACTTCCCTTCTCCCTCCATATTCCCCATACTTGCTTCACCACAAGAATCTTTCCACCGATATTCTCAACCTGATTCATTCTATTTGTTGCCAACATCGGACCATCGCGAGCACAAACACTGGTTGTTGTTTACAGTAAGGAGCTTCAACCAGCAACAAGCAAGAAAATCGAGCAATCAACTGCCGTATCTCACCAGTGGCTCAGAAGAAGGCCCTGTGCCCACCCGAAATTTGTCCAACAACCCTCCGTGCCCGGCCCGGGAATCCGTGCAAGAACCCCCCACAGGAGAGTTGAAGAAAAATAGAAATTCGGCAGGGGAAGGGGAAGAAAGAAAAAAAAAAAGCAAAGACTACAGGAGAGAAGCGTTAAAAGCACTCAATCGGTCATTTAGTACTCGGTCAGTACCACGGACACCGACAGCACAGGCAGAAAGGGTACGGTAGACAATTGTTGCCCCAATAAATCGCCCACTCAATCCCCTCCTGCTTACTTCCTATCAACTTCTCTGCAGGAAGATACGGGGAGAGAGATCACTTTTTGGGTACTGTAGCTTTTATTTTCGACTACCCCACAGCAAAGTTAGTCAGTCAACCTTCTGGTCTCTGCCATTCTATTCTCCTGCAACCGGCAAGAAATAGTTGCAGTGGCACCCACTTTTCCTCAATCAGCCCCTTCTTCACACACACACACCATCACCCCACACCCCCTGGATTTGGGGCGTGCGATCTTCTCTCCCACATTTGTCTCAAACCCCTCTGCCTCTGGCACACTTGACGCACGCGATCTGCCGCTAGCCATCGTGATCTGTCCGTCAAAAGGCCCTCCTTCGCCGTCCCATCTTGATCCTGAACGGCCATCTTGAACACCCCATCTCTGCTATCTCTTAGCTATCTTCTCATTCATCTACCTATCCGTTCACAGCAACTCCCCCCCCCCAATAATACATTCACCCATCCCATTAGCACCTACTCCATCTCTTCCCCCTTCGTCCCCATCCTATCCCTAACTACCGTACTCTCTCCGCCAAAATATCTTTCAAGCTGCCTAAAGCACCCTTCCCTCTATACACTTTAATACCAATGAATACCCATCTCCCGAGAGCAGGGCCCCAGTCCCTTCACCGCTCCATTCCGCCCAGTATATCGTTACAACGCCCATCTCGATCACGATTTCGCCATGGCCGCTCAAGAGAGAAGGGAACACCAGGTTTCTTAACCCAGACGGTTGCTGGTAAGTGGAATTGATAATTTTTTCTTTTTCTTTTTATTATTGCTTTCTTCATTATCTTCTTCAGAAACCAAGTTCTTGATCACATGAAGACAGAGAATTAACATTTCTTTTTCACTCCGGTAGATATCCGTCGGAAATTTCTGGAGCTAGAGCTATTGCAGAGCGAGCGGCTGCGCGATAACGAAGACACTCAATGGAAAATTGATGATAGCAATGAAGTCAGGATACGAAATAGGTACTGCAATATTGCGCCCTGGGACAGTAACCGAGTAAGACTACGCGTGCCTACCGAGCACTGTGATTATATCAATGCCTCGCCAATCGTTTTGAAGGGTCGGAACGGGTCAATAAAGCGGTATATCGCTACACAGGTACGTGATAAGGATGCGGGCGGCGCTATCTTGGTGTTTATTCTCCAAGATGTGGGGCTGAAGTAGGAATGCGTGGGGAAAGGTAGAGCTGACGTGTGTTTCTTAATGCGTTGTTTAGGGACCGAAGGAAGGACAATTCAACCACATATGGCGAATGGTCTGGCAAGAGACTTCCGATGTCGCTGTAATAGTCATGCTCACGAAGACTTTCGAACTGGGGCGGGATAAATGCTTCCAGTACTTTCCTGAAAAGCTTGATGATAAGCCTTGGACTGTTGATGGTGATGAGGAGTTTGGAGACGGTTTCAAGGCGACGATAAGCCTTTTGGAGAAGACTAAGGATAAGCGAAGTTCATGCACTGTGCGAAAAATTTCGTTAAAGGTTGGTGAGAAGGAGAAGATTGTGTGGCATCTGTTGTTTAAAGGATGGCCGGACTTCAATGTTCCCGAGGGAGACAATCGAAGCGCGTTGTTGGAGGCAATCAAGTTGGCCAATGAGAAGAACAGTGGTCCTCAGAACCCACTGATTGTCCATTGTTAGTAACTCTCTTGAACAATTTTAAGGCTGAACATCACCTAACCCTTATCTCTTCATAGGCAGCGCCGGAGTTGGCCGATCAGGAACGTTCATCACCCTAGACCATTTCCTTCGTGAAATCGATGCGGGCACTATTTCCGCTGACGAGCGTGAAGATCCGGTTTTTGAGGTGGTGAATCGGCTTCGTGAACAAAGAATGTACATGGTGCAGAGCCAGGTCCAGTATGAATTCTTATACCAAGTATTGAAGGAGAGGTTCCAACGAAGAGCAAAGTCGGCCTCTCCGCCAACAGTTCCGTTAGATGACCCGGCGGAGACGGATTCAGAGTTCGAGAATGGCCAAGGCGGGGTGCGGTTGCATTAACTCTGCTGGCGACTCCTGTTTGAGTGTGTAGTGTGGATACACCAACCTCTATTTTCTCTTTTTTTTCTTTTTTTCTTGACTATTTCACGCTTGGCGTTTGTTCTGTACCACTTTTATTAATATCCTTTGGATTGCGCCAACTCACGGTTTACTGTTGTTGTTTTTTTCATTTTTTCATTTATTTTATTTCTTTCCGTAGTTGCGGTAGGGAAATGGAGGATAAAGATAAAGGCACAGGAGTTTTTTGTTTTTGTTTAAAGTTTCTCCTTTTGTATTATTCACTCAAAGCTACTCAAGCCCTTCGCCCTATACCTGTTATCTTCACACATTTACTACCTCCCGTCGAGTATCACACTTGCGTCTCTTTATGCTGTACCCTTTAGTGGATAATGCTGGAGGAGGTATCATAGACTCATATTCCGGGGTGGTCTAAAACAGGGAAACCACCCTTCCCCCCCCCGACCACCCTAATTAATTAAAGCCTGTATGATATAGTACACATAAACTTAGCTATCCTGGAACCATCTACAAGTATGCCATATTATGCCCTTTCATTAAGCCTTTCTCCTCTTCTCCACAAATCCCCCCCCTCCTCTTGCGAAGCTTCAAGTACATTAGCAACAAAAAAAAAAACATGACCACGCACCTGTGAGATGAAAAAAAGTCCTTGCGGTTACCACTAGGTGTAGTGGGTAGCCCCCACATTACTCACACCGTAGTCCTGGACCTGATCACTCCTAGCCAACTATATATATGCCACCCAACTCATTTGTCACCCAATCCAAGTATGATACATATACGGTACCACATCCCCAACAACAACCTAAAAAGGAGGGAGCAAAAGCTTGTGAATACCGGAGAATGTCCCCGCGTCCCCCCTCCCCCTCCCCCTCATCCCCAGAAGCGCTATGCGCAGACCCGACGACCACGGAGAACCATACTGCGACCCCACAGCGTACGCAAACACCCCGGGACCCAATTCTATTCTCCCGCTTCGAGATAGTGACCGGGGCGGGGTAACTGGGTACATGGAGCTTCCTCTTTCCTCCGAATTTACCAGATGCGCACTGTTCTGTTCCGTTCGCTCCCTTCCAGCGGGAGTTATTATGATGCTTTGGGAGAGTTTGTGAATTTTGTTTGGTGGAGGGTGTTTGTTCTTGTATTTTGTGATTTCGATTAAAAAAAAAATTTTAAATTTGTATAGGCTTGCTGAACTTATCGAAGCCCCCTTTGCGGATTGATGGTAGGTGAAATCACATATTCTCACCCGGACATCACGAACTCGTGAGTTGGCTCTTGTGCATGTGGTACAGTGCCCCCCCCCCTCGGGGGAGGTGGGTAAGGGCGCCCCTGTAGGGGGGTGAGTGAGTGCTTGCTATCATAGCGTTTTTTTTTTTTTTTTTTGCTCTTCGGATGCTTTTTGAGACGACTTGGTGGGCATCCATGTCGTGCAATTGTGAACGGGCCGTAGCCTACTGTGACGCCTACTCGTAGGTGCTTGTGTTTGTGAGCATGCCATTGTCCTATCAGGGCCGCTACTCCCAAAGCTATTTTATTAATATCTTCAAAGAACCGATACCAGTAGTCTGCGAAGGCAGTACGAAATATAATGTTCAACCGCCAAAAGAAAAAAGAAGGGAGAAAAGATAATATTTTCACAAAGCAAAAGAAAGCCGGATATTCTACAAAATATGCCACTTCCCCCAAGTCGCGAGTCCGAGCTGACTGGCAATCTACCCCCACCGTCCTCACTGGGTGCAGCTTGCTGCCTCCACGAGTGACAATCCATGAAATCACGTGGCTCTTGGCGAGTGTGTGAAGGGGTTGCGCCGAAGCGCTTCTGGCGCAAGTACCCGCGGCCGTCGTCCAAATGCAATGCAGTCTTCCCGAGGAATTCGGGAACATAAATATCAAAAAAAAAATGGGGAAAATGGGAAAATGAAGAATTTAATGAAGCAAAAGAAGGAAAGGAAAGAAAATAGGGACTTCCAGAAGGTGACATAATTGCCGTCCACATTCTCCGCGATGATATAAAAACCCCAAAACGCCGAATGCCGCACACCCAATCAATCAAGCAATCCAATCCACTCGTGTTAACGGATAATTTGTTTGACTACTCTCACTCTCACTTTCCCCCTCTACCAGTCACGGGGTCCTCCTCTTCTTCACCTTCATCACCGGACAATTCAAATTCCCTATCTGCGATAGCGGCCTCCAGGTCTGCGAGTTCATCTCCTTCATCTACAGTAACACCTTGGTAGCCCTTCGCTTGCCGCTTGCGCTCGAGCATGCGTTTGTGATACCAGGTGCATATCGCTAGGGCGGAGAGTGATCCGGAGATATCGGCGAGAATGTACCATGGGTCGAATTTTCGGACCTGCTGAAAGGGTCAGTTGATTCCGAGTCGAGTATAAAGCACTAATGAAGGGGAAATATTACGGATAGAAGGGTTTGGAGGAATTCACTGAGTATGGAGAGAAATAGGGTGCATATCTGGCTGGGTCAGCAGGCACACTGCGAGAAGGTGAGGGTCCGGAAGTAGTACGAAAAATGTGAGGTTGAAGACTCGACGACGAGATGTGTCCAGTATCCAGTAGAAAGATGTCTGTGATCCAAATATTAGCTCTCTGAAACGTTTACATGGGGGCTGAACAGAAAGGAGGGAAGAAGGGGTAAAACCGTCAAAACAAAGAATACGGCATAATGGAGGAATTTATCGTTGACAGGAATGGAAGTGGTAGTCGTTCCCAGCCATAGCGAGAATAACGATAGTAGAATGAAAGCTATCGCAAAGGGTGTTCGGACCCTGCGAAATAAACCCCCATAAGCACAATACCGAATATAGGATGCTATTTGATGATAGGGGATGAATACCTCATGTTTGTTCTCCCTCGTCTGTGGGTACGAAGTGGAACAAAGTCCGTGGATCAAATGATCCGCGGTGGACGTAACTGTTGCCAAGCATGTAATGACTAAGCCTAGCGAACCATGATATTCCGGAGCTTTTTATTTTCCGAGGCACGATTCCGTGCAGGGGGTTCCCCGATTACGCTTTTGGGTTTTCAGTAAATTACGATTTTATTATGAGAGAGTTACTGGTAGCCTTCACACATATCAACTACTATCAAGCTACGAGCCAATGAGCAATTTAACACTCACAGATTCTCACTCGAGAAGATAAACGCAGGACGTTGGCGATATGCTATTGGTTCAGGCTATGCCATTTGGCTACTTTGTTGTTTCGGGGAGGGCACAATGGGGGCTATTACAGTAACGGCCGTCTTTTGCTGTGCGCATGCTTCTTAGATCATACGCCATCTTTTGATCACGGAGAGTGCTGTGGTGGCCAGGTCACATTTTGAGCCTCACAAGATGAGGTCACGTGTGCTATGAGATGCCCAGTAAAAATTTGAATATTTCAACCAAGTTTTAAGCTTATAAAAATGCTAACCTCTAACATGGGGTTTTGGGGCCCTATCTCCAATTTTGATGATGGTAGCGAGTGTCGTGCTTACTATATGTGTTCATGGATGATCACTCGGAATTGTGAGAGGAACGGATGGTTGAAGGGCTAATGAAGGGGAAAAGAGATCAGATCATAACTCGCCTTTTCGCTTGACGGTTCACGACTCAACTCAATTGCTCTGTTCACCTGCAAGTTCACTGGTACTGTAGCTACGCACTACGATGGTACCATACGGCAGACGGTAATGCCACAGAGGAATCCAAAACACCATCTTTCCTCCACAGGTTATTCCCCATGCTCGCACCGCAGCCATCATTACTTGTATCAAACAATCCTCCATCAAACGACACTCCGAAATCAAGAGAATCTTATTTTCTTCTGCCTCTTCGGCCCTTTGTCTAGTCGTGCGGCTACTCTATTTGCCTCGTATCGCTCATTTTGACCGGGGAGTTCATTTGGTGGATTTCTTTGCGGGTTCATGGTGCGAGAAATAGAAATTGTCGAGAAGAAGAGTGTCTTTTCTTCTCTGCTTAACAAGCCTTCACCTCTCTCACTCTCTCAGCTTTCTCTCTTCCCCTCCAATCACCAGTACACACACAACGCTTACCTACATCAAGTGAGTATTTTATACGAGTAACTACGCGATAGATTCTGATTCCCTGTGCTCTTTTATTTTGCTTCCATCTTTTTCTTCTTCTTTTTTCTTTTCTCGTTCTTGAACTTTGAAAATCACTGATTCCTTGTACTCTGAGCTCCTTTATCCTATTTTTACGGGGAAAAGGTTAAATTTTTTCTTTCCTTCTCGTTGTCGGTCGCTTCGTTCGGTTGCGTCGTGTGGACGACAGGCAAAGAAAAGGGAAAAAAAAAATCAAAAGAGGAGGAAGGGTTTTGTTGCTTTTCTGTCTGCTCTCTCCCTTTTCCTTAGTCAGCCTCATCCAACGCCCAGCGTCGTCTCAACCTCACCTGGTGCGCGCTGTACCATTCCCTGTGAAATCACCACGAATTCCATCGCGACATTCATCGATTTTCATCCCATTTCCATCGCTCTTCTCCTCAGAGCCGCTTGCTAAAAGCTCGGGCTATGACCCGAGCAGCTTAGCCTGCTCCAAAGACGTCCATATTCGCGTCAAAACCCCTTCTCCCTCTCCCTTCCAAACCCCCGAATCACCACCCCCCTCCCATACATATTCCTGCTTACATACGCATCATGAGCAACAACAATCTTCTCCCAGCTTCATGGTCACGCCAGCCGAGCACTCGCGACGATGTTACTGTTCTTGCGGAACGCACTCGGACAAACTCCATTGAAACGGGGGTAGAGGGTGGGGACAAGGACGATGTTGTCGATCCCACCATCGCCGCTTTTCGCCAGCGATACGATATATTCGAAAAGCGCATAGCAATGATGTTCGACACCCGACGTCCTTGCTGCGCTCCACCGGATATGGAATTCGCTGCCTTGGAGCTTAACGACGATTTCTCCTCAGCGAATGTCAATGCTTCGGGAAATTCCGCTGCGGACAATGCTCGGCCACCCGTGCGAAAGATCGACGACGACGATTATGACTTTGAGGACGATGAAGACGAAGAGGACACAAAGGCTAAAGCTCCCCCATTCTTACCTCTCAAATCAGCTTCCTCATTGTCTCAATCTAGCGAACCTTCGTCTGGGAATATAATTGATGCCAAGAAGAGCGCTGTCGCGACGAGGGAGAAGCTGGAGGCTGATAGGAAAGCGGCTGAAGAGGCTGTGAAGCGTGCTCTACCCTCCATGTTTTTCACCCTTGAGAACGATCGGGATGCCATGCTGGAGCAGCAGAAACTTGAAGAATCCGACAGACAGGTCAATGCCGAAGCGAATGCGGCTCAAGCGAACGCCCTTGGGAAGCTTAGCAGCGCAAACCTTGGTGCTTCAAGCTTAACATTGAAGCACCTTATCGCTCGGATCGATGCCAAGCGTGAGAAGGTCGTGGTTTCAGATATGGAGTTACGGAATTTGATGTCAGAGGTCCGGAAGAATCGGTCAAAGTGGGCCAATGAAGACAAAATTGGTCAGGAGGATCTTTATGAAGCGGCAGAGAAAGTGGTACTAGAGCTCAGAGCGTTGACAGAGCACTCCACTGCCTTTCTCAATAAGGTCAATAAGCGAGACGCACCAGATTACACGACTAGTGAGTTCCTCCTTACTATATCGTTCAAAAGTTCTGATTTTTAATTTTAATTTTGGTTTTCAGTAATAAAACACCCAATGGATCTGGGTACTGTAATGAAGAAGTTGAAGGGTCACCACTACAAGAGTAAAAATGATTTTGTCGACGATCTTAATTTAATATGGCAAAACTGCCTTACTTATAATGCTGAACCGTCACACTATCTTCGGAAACATGCAAAAGCGATGCAGAAAGCTACTCAAAATCTCATACCTTTAATTCCTGATATCGTGATTAGGGATAGGGCGGAGGTTGAGTTAGAGGAAGCAGGTGCCCTTGAGGTTGACGCTGAGGGGGAAAGCGATGATGGTATATCTGACCCTGTTTGATTTTTTGCTCTGACCGAGGGGCGCCTCATTGCTTGTATGTGCTTATATTTTGCCTACAGAGCCTATAATGTCTACTCGTGGCAGAAAGGCACCTGGAACTAAGAAGACTAGGAAAGGTGCTCGGCTGGAAGGGACTCCTGAAGTTAAAGCGCCAGTCGTAAATCTTTTGCGAGCAGATTCCAACCCTCCGGGTAATGATAGTCAAGTTTCTGTTGGCATCAATGGTTTTCCAACACCATCTGGCAGCACCCCTATTCCTAATGGCCTTGTGCACTCAATATCGCAAATGGATATTGATCATGACAGGGTCGATGATGATACGCATGATGTAGAGTATCAGACGTGGAAAACTTTGACAAAGAAGGCAAGGGCGAAGGTGGCAGTGGGTTTCCCTCTGGACTGACTTATGGCACTGAACGTTTTCTAATGATTCCACCTAGAGCGAGAGACACAAGTTATTTCGTGGCAATCGTTTGAATCCGGAAGAACCGGCTTTATTACGATCCCGGGATGATATGGGGCGGTTTTTGAGGAACGAAGAGAAGCACGCCAAGTCAACCCAGGATGCTGACGACAGCAGCATGCAACAAGGAAGTGGTAATACGAAATTGGTTGATACGGAACAACCAGACGTTCAGGAACTACTTCCGGATTACTACGACCCTTTGGCCGCGGTCCCGGAGCTTCCTTCTGGTGTCTCATGGTATGGCGAAGGCGACGAAGTAGATCTACAGGACGACAATCTCCGTATTGCGCCGAGAGGGATATTTACACAGCCAAAGTCTGAGCTCAGCAAGCGGATGGATGCGAATATCAAACAGATGCAGGAGACGAGGAAGTTGTGCTCGAAAATTGGTGTAATCAAGCAGATGCAGGTGCAGACACAGGTATGAGTTATCCTAAGTCTGGTCCTTGTGCCCTTGGGTGCTAACCTTGGGGTTTTCAGATGTACTCCAATCAATTCACCAAGTACGATCCAAAGGAGTTTGTCGAAGCTGATGTAGAAGACTTTGTGATTTCTGAGGAAGGTCCCATCATGTGCGCAACTGTAGCACGAGCTGCATTGCAGAAATCTGTCGGCAAGATATTTTATCATGCTGGCTTTGAGGAGTTCCAGCCGACAGCAATTGATGCCGTGACTGATATTGCTGTTGATTACTTTCAGAAGTTGTCGAAGACTTTGACGGTGTACCAGGAGGCTCCACAACATGAGAGGAAATTTGAGCCAGAGGTGGGAATCTAGAAGATAAATTGTTTTGGAGTTTCTGAAGATGCTAACCTGGCTACAGGAAATGCTACTCCATGCTTTGTATGAAAATGGTGCAGATGTCGAATCTTTGGACACCTACATCAAGGACGATATTGAGAGGCTAGGCTCCAAGCTGAATGGCATTCACCAGCGGATGAAGATTCATCTAACAGAACTTTTAGTACGCCATTCCTCGATTACTTGATCTGATGTGGGCACTAACCAGTTGTATAGCGTCCTGCCTTACAGGATGTCGGTGGTGACGGTTCGAGGATGTTTAATGATGGCAGTGAACAGTTCGTTGGCGGTGATTTCGCCGAGGATATTGGTGATGATTTCTTTGGCTTTAAGGAGTTGGGCTTGGACAAGGAGTTTGGACTTTCTTCGCTTTCTGTACCATTGCACCTGCTTCAGGGGAGGATGCATAGCACATATCAAACACAAAACACCAGGTACGATATTGTATCATGCTTTCATATATATAAGAAAGTTTCTAACTACGTCACAAATTCTACAGTGCTGTGGCATTAGCGGATGGCTACAAGCCGCCACCCCCCTTCGAACCTGTCACTCACGAGCTTCTCGAGCGGGAAATTGGCCTGGTCAAAAACTTCTTTTTGGCAAAGCTCCATGCAGGCGGCGGTGAACCCCTCGTCGAAGATGAAGACCTACCCGTTAAACAGCGTTTACCAAAGCCGAGGTTGCCTCCAAGCGGGAAGATTTTGGCCCCAAGGAAGCGCCCAATGCACGGCCAAGGGGGGAATTCAAAGAAGAAGAAAAAACCGAACCCACCGGCACCACCACCCCCAAAGGCCGCACCGCCACCTTCAAAGAGCATGGCCATGGATCGCTCATTATCGAAGATATCAGAAGTAGACGGTGACGGGAATGGTGGTATGATGTCACCAGAGTCGTTGGTTGGTGGAGGCGGATAAATTCACAACTTGGGAAAACAAAGGAAAGATATTATTTTTACGGAAGGAGTCGATTCCTCATCTTGTTAGTTTCAATCCTTCATTTGCCAGGGAGGTCGTTGGTTCTTCTGTTCGTCTTTCTAGTACCCTTTTGCTTCGTCCTTTTTTTTTTTTACTAGGTCCCTGATGTCTCCTTGTAACTATCTCCTCCTTTGGCCCTTTCTACTATCTTTTCACTTGCAGCACCCTTTTGGTCCGCTTCAGTTCACACAAGTTTATTTTATTTCAGCTCATCAAACCGGGCGTTCAGGTTTGATTCAGTTCACTTCGGTTTGGCCTAGTTTGTCTCCTATTGTTTCAGTTTGGTACAAAAAATTGTCTGGTTTGTATATTTTTTGTTTTGTTTTGGTAACATTCGTACGATGTAATTTATTTATTTTATTCTCTTTCGCTCAATTTTTTTTTTCCTTCATCTATTATTCTCTTGTTGGTTTAGGGTGTATGACGAATGGGTTCCTTTATTTTTCTCTTACTATTACTACTGCTATTTTATGATTTGTTTGTGTTGTGTAGATTTTGGGATGTTTTCATGTCGTTTGGTGCTGAGGATGCGGGTGGAGGTTGGTGTTGCTGTTAGGCAGGGGTCATGGGGGAGGAAGAACGGGAGTTGTGGTTGGGAAACTGGATGGAAAGGCAAGACAGGCAGGGCAAGGAAGGAAAGACAGGGTAGATATATAATGAATGATACCGTCTTTGAGTTTTTATTTTATTTTATTTTATTTTCTTTTCTTTGGGAAGCCGGATAAGGGAGGTGCTTTGCTTTTGTATCTTATTGTATTCTTGGATGTTTTGTATGATGGATAGGGTTTTCATTGTTTTTGTCTTTATTTTTCAAGGGTGATTTTTTTTCCTTTCCATTGTTTTATACTACTCGTTTCCTTACTCATTTGTACTTGCTTGCTTGATATATTGATAAAAGGCGATTATTGGACGTTTTATGTTCTATGTCACGTGCCCACCCCCGCCCGTCGGTTCGTGCGGCACACCCGGAATTCCATTTCTTTATGGAGTCGTGAAAGGTTGATATCGTGTCCGGGTGTGGACAGTGCCCTATTGAATTTTTAGGAAGGGTAATGAGGGGGCGGGTAGTTACAAGTATATCATAGGTGTGCTTGTACATCTAAGCTACCTTCATTTCACCTAACATCACTTGCCTGAGAGTCCGCAGAGGCTACCACCTTGGCGCACAGTGTGTGAGATGCCATCACTATGTCAAATACCGGCACAGCGGGTAACAGTGCTCTCTCTCCCCCCGCTGAAGCATGGGGTAGTATTGTAGTGATTACGGGAGGAATTAGAGTATGAATGGGTGAATTCAGGCAGTGTGACCCCCCGTTACGAGTAGTTGGGGGTTGTAGGTTGGGTGGAGTGAAGGGAAGGGGGCAGTTTTGGGGGGAGGGGAGGGATAATCTGTTGAGCTCTCGTGATGAAATTTCTGGTGCGTTTTATACGGGTTGGCGTGACATGATGGAATGAGGTAGGAGAAGTAAAGTAGTAGGCATGATACAGTGATCCAGTAGCTTCGAGATCAATAGAGTCAATAGGCTAGTGCAATTATGATTCTTGCCACACCAGCATGGTCCAAGTTCACATTCGAGCTGGGAGGGGGGGACCCGAAGCACGATCGAGACAGGTCGTTATGCACGTATTAAACTGGCCAGCTTCGGAAGGGTTCACCCACCTGTCAGGGTACGGTATCACGCTCCTCCAGCGTCGACTCCTAATATACAACTTCCTCGCATCACGGTTCGCAAGCCACCCCATGAACCGAACGGACCCGAGAAGGAAGGGAAAGAACCTGTGCTTCTCGGGGCCGTTCTCAACTAAGCTCCTACGGCGGGGCCTCGCGCGCTTTTCGGCGAGCCGGAGCGTAGGAAAACACCTTAGTAGTCAGTGTAGTACATACTCATCGCTTTCTTTTCACAATAGCTTAGGCAAGGGTAGCGGGGGGATTTTTTTCTTCTTTCACCTCTTGAGATGATCGACTGCCTCAAGCGCGAAGTTTGCGTAGTTTTATTATATACTCGGATTTCGGAGCGTATGATACCAACATTACTGCGTGGCTAGACTTAATCCCCAGGGCAATGAAGATTATACAGGGAGATGCACTTACCCACGCACCCGGCCGCGGGTTGGCTCGGCTGTGCAGATACACATTAAAAAAAACAAAAAAAAACACAGATTAGGATATCCGCCATTTGAATGAGTGGGTTTCTTAGGACCACAGTCGGTATTATAGTGCTGAGTGTTAAGCAATGTTTTAAACTTACCTATCCCCTCTACTCAGTGGATTGGTGTATGATAACTAGTTAAATCTAGACGCGCCAAGGGAGGAACTCTTTCTGTTTCTTTTTTTGTTTGCGCCCATCTTACAACAACACCAGGCTGTACCATCATATCATAGCTCGGATTAGAGGGGGGGGGGGGAATGACCCGAGTGATCAACTGTGATGTACATCTTGAATGATACTGTCCCAGCTTTTGGGGGGGGGGGGGGCTAAGAATGGGATTCACAGAAATAATAGCAATAATTTCTAACTGACTAAAAGGTTTGGTTTGTCATGGACTTATTCAGCGGTGTGATATGGTATCCCTTCATCCCCCCTTTACGATTATGATACCTAGCTAGTTCTAACTAGCTACCTAGTAGGCACGTTCCCGTCCATCCCATCTAGCCATTGGCGGGAACGAGCATACAGTGCCTTGCTCCTCACCCCCTGTCGCATCGTGCTGTACCGGGAAAAGCTTTTTCCTGTTTTCGTCCCCGGGAGGGGGGGGTGCGGGTAGCCGGTGGTGCGCATTTTAGACCAAAAATGTCAACCCCCCCCTGCAGAAAACAAAAACACAAGTAGGAAATGTTCTCACTATTGAGAGTGAGCGACTTGTTGAAACTCTGGATGATTTTTTTTTTGCATATTGGGGTTGTGAATCGATTAAACTAGATGAGTCTCGGCTCTAAAAGCAGAGCAAAGCCCGCCAGCTTGTAGATAATAATATTATTATAGTAATCCGTGGGGGGCGGATACTGAAAGAGTGAAATCGGAGTTGCTGTTTTTTTTTTTTTTTTTCCATTTCTTTTTTTCTTTTTTCCCCACCGTTCTGGTGTTGTTTTGCTGGGTTGGTAAGTACTGAACTGTGCGCTATGATACTAGTATATCTTAACTATTGCAAGTTATAAATGTAGCACATGTAAAGCAAAATCAAGTATGAGAGAACAATTTAATTTTGCAATACATTTGCTTTTGCTATTGAGATTTATGTTATACAATTATCATAAATTACTGCCAGTGAGAAGTAATACAAAAAGGAAAAAAGACAGTTGATATACAATTTTTATTATTATTATTATAAAATACAAAAAAATAGTCAATGACAGACAATGCTCATCAGATTTTATCCATTTTCTCAGTATTTATAGTTCCTTAAGGAACAGCTCAGAGTTGGATATTTTTATCACTTGAGCTTATATTATATTCCGCAGATTCCCAATAATCTTTTCTAACCAAGTATTCTTTATTTTAGTAGAGATGCTGGCTTTAATATCCTCCAGATAACCCTTAAGTTTATTTGTCCTTATAGATCTTTCTTCTGCTTGTATTAGTAAATTTCCACTCACTAGTCCATTAATTTCTCCATCTCAACTATATGTTCCTTTACCTATTTATGTTGGAGATGTTCTCACTCACCTATTGTAATGTTTTTTGTGTTATGTAAGTAGATTTCAACCCACCAACCTGCCTATAATTCTACCACATGGTATATAATTTATTTCCTATGTGTTAGTAACTGTTCATTAATGAGAAAAAGAATAGGAGGTCTCAACTTACCTGGAAGATTTATTCCTGCTTGCATCAGGATATTCCTATCCACCAGCCCACCTATATTTCCATCCCATCTATCCCTATTCCAAACCTGTTTTTATTAGTAAATTTTCCTCTCATATACTCATTCTTATAGATTTTTCTCTTATTGATATTAGTACATTTTGCTTCTACTTACATTAGTAAAAATCTAAAAAAAATCCAATTCTCCTGTTAGGAGTACTAGAATCCGATATCCAGCAACCATTTTAAGTAGGATAACCCCACTTGGAATCAGAATCTCTGGTCTCTATTGTCCGGGGACAAAATTAACTAGCTTTCAACCGCAATGGTAACGCTCCCCTCCTTATCACCCCGCTCCCTCAAAACTTCTTAAAGAAATTACTCTACACCAACCAAAACCAAACCAATTTACTTAATTCTTTTTTTCAACAAACTATGCCTCCTATTCTTCACAGTCATACCAAACAGCCTATTCCCTCCAAGCACTTTTCTGAGTTTACAAGGGGACGAATTCTCAGGTTACGTGAGACTCAGATGACAAATCACCAAATTTCCCACTACTTTGACATTCCTCTCAGTACTGTTAAAAGCACATTTGCAAAGAGAGATCAAGAGGACAAGGAGAATGAAGGTAGAAGAAGACATCCTAAAACTACCAAGTGGTAGGATAATGCTATAGTAGAGGAAGCTCTCAAAAATCGCCATACCAGCTACTCTGAGATTGCTGAGAGAGTGGTTCCGAATGTTTCTGCTAAGACTGTGAAGAGAAGACTTGCACAAAAGCATCTTAAAAAGTGGATGGCACAAGAGAGGGTTCATTTAGATGAGAATCTAGCTCAAAAGAGATTAGAATGGGCATTAGCCCATAGGAATTGGACAAGGCAGATGTGGAGAAGGAAGGCAATGTGGGGGGATGAGGTAGCTGTAGAGAGGGGAGGAGGAAAGAGAAGAAAATGGGTATTTAGATACTCAAAAGAAAAGTGGAATAAGGATTGTGTTGAACCTACTGCTAGGAAAGGAGAGAGAAAGATTAGTCAGATGATGACTGGTTGTTTCTATGGTCAAACTCATAGTCTTTTTTTACCTGTTTTTCCTGATCCTACTTCTGCTGGAGGTGGAGTGACTGGAAAGTCAATTATTGATGTTTATGATCAACATGACTTTCCAGGGATATGGGAGGATATCAAGGAGCATGTTGGGGAGGAAGGGGTATTTTTGATTATTGACAATGCTAAGACTCACTTGCCTTTCAGGAGATGGCTCAGGAGAAATGGAATTTCTCTGATGGAAATTCCTCCCTATTCACCAGACCTCAATCCAATTGAAAATATTTGGTCTCTGGTGAAAGACAAAGCTTCATAGGCACTATCCTGAGCTGTTTCTCCTGAAGGGCCCTGTCAATGAGATCAAAAAAATTATAGAGGAGGCTATTACTCATTGTTGGGAACTTTTGGACTCAAAAGTTTTTGATACTTTGGCAGGATCAATGGTGGATAGGGTAGAAGCAATTATTAAGGCTGATAGATGGTATTGTCATGAATGTGGCTTGGTATAAAAGAGGTTTTCACATGACACATGGTTATGAGTCACAGGTATGTTATTGTTTCACACATATGACTCATTCGGGTCATATGATTTGTTATGTGTGGGATTTGTGATGCTTTTGCACATAGCTCAAATATGAGTCATGGGATGTGTGCCTGGCAAGTATGCCTTACGAGGGTGCCTTGCGGGTAAGCCTTGTGCCTATGATTTATGTTTCGCACATGACCTCATTATGAGGTCATGGGTTTCGCGCACATGACTCAGTCGAGTCATATGACTTGTTTATTGCGTTATGATTGGTTTATGAGT